TCTTAGAATGTACGTTTTTGTTTTTCGAGTACATATTTCATAATAAAAACAAATTCTATTTTATAACTGTTACATTTGACTAAAGTAAAGGGGAAATTGATGTATAAGTACGTATTTATTATGTCTTTTTATGAGATATTACATATTTATCTGTGATCAGAAAGAATACCTGCAGATTGACTTTTTCTTCAAAGGAGTATTTATTTTTAAATATGTGTGCTCATGGGTGTGTGCGCGCACACTCTCACAAATGTTTGTGTGTATGGTGTGGAGGGGTTCATGATTATTTTGACTGTTAACTATTAATGTCTGTGAATAAAGGCTGCTAAATGTTGTCCTATAGCAGTTAGTGATCGCACCTCAATGCCCCGCCTTTAAGAAGTGGTTTTCAAACCTGAGTGTGTATGGGGACTAGTCAGCACACAGATTGCTGGGTCAGAGTGTGTGCTACAGTAACTGCAGTGGGTCCTCAGTTTGTGTTTTTAACAAGTTTTAAGGATGCTGTTGCTGCTGCTGCTAGGAACCACATATTGAGAACCTCTGCTTGGTTTAAGGAAACCAAGATGCTCGCACAACAAATGATATTTTTAATTTTCACTTTTGGCTCATCTATTTAATTGTTACTAAAAGACAAAAATATTTCCTTAATCCTTGTATTAATTTTAATTCTCTAAGTTTTGGTTAATCTATATTTCTAAAAAAGCAAACCCTAAATATTTCTTTACTCCTTTTTTTAAATTTTAAAATAATATAGTTTATTTGAGTCATTAAATTAAACAAAAATGATCATGAATGAAAATCATAAGAGTTTTACACCAAAACTCTTTTAAGAAAACAAATTATCTTACCTGCATGGATAATTTGGTCTACAAGGTCAGGTAGGTTCCAAGGCAGAGACAGTGCCTACTTCTCAGCCTGGGTAATTAGGTATGACTTGTGCACGATGGCCATTTTGTCAGTTTTCGGTTGAAATACACTACAAGGTAGAAAAAATGTTTTTCAGCATTATCAACTACAGGCATAACTCAGATGTATTGGAGATTTGTTTTCAGATCACTGCAATAGAGCGAATATTGTAATAAACCTAGTCTCATAATTTTTTATTTCTCAGTGCATACAAAAGTTATGTTTGCACTATACTTCAGTCCACTTAGATGCATCATGCAAAAATTTGCAACATTGTGGTTTGCACTGTCATCCAGTCAATTCAGACTCATGGAGACCCTGTAGGCAGAATACAGCTGCCTCTGTAGGTTTCTGAGACTGTCAACCTTTATGGGAGGGTTTACTGTCACTCTTTAAGAAGTAAAAAGCCTGATTTTTCTGCTTCAGAGTGGCTAGTGGTTTTGAACTACTGATGTTGCAGTTATCAGCCCAATGTGTAACAACAACATCAAAATGTGCCTGGCTTAGAGGCAGAGAACATATGCAGCTGGGGAAATGGTGCTGATAGACTTGCTTGATATTCTTGGTGGCCACAGACCTTCAGTTTGTAAAACATGCATGTCGTCGCCGCTCAGTAAAGTGAGGAGGGCTAATACAACAGACTAGGTGATTTAGTTGGTGTGCAGAGATGCTGATGTGTCTGATGAAACTTCATAAATCACCGTCAGTTGGTTCTGTAAGAAGTCTTGCATTTACTGGGCTCCAGCATCTGCTGCTCCTGAGACCCCCTCAAGTGCATTCTGCACTTAAGTGCTACATTGCTTTTTGAGTAGCTTGTAGAAGCTTGATGGGAGCACTGGTGATTTCGTGGTTATGAACTGGGCTGCTAACCACAAGGTCAGCAGTTCAAACCAGAAGCTGCTCTTTGGGCGAAAGATAAGGCTTTCCACTCCATAAAGAGTTAGAGTTTCATCTTGTCGATAGGGCCACAGGAGTTAGAATCTGGCAGTGAGTTTGGTTTGGTTTGTAGGAGCTTGTTCATGATCCAAAGCTGATTGAAACTCCTCTGCATGGGAAAATTATACTTAATTTGAATTAGCTTTGCTGATGAGCTGGAATTTTATTCTTAAAGAAAGAAAGATCTGGTGTAGTGTCACTTTTAAATGAGTAGCAAATCTCAAAACCATAATTTTGGGTAAATTGAATGATAGGTACCTGCCTCATAGGGGTATAAAAATTAGTTAGTATTTATGAAGAATTTAGAGGAGTGCTTGGAAACGAATATGATGTAAGAGGTAGCTGTTATGGGT